GCTCCAGTAGTCGTTGTGCAATGCTGCGTGAAGAATGCCCTATAAAACAGAACAGATCAATCAGGTAATCGACGACAGAAACCACATGGTTGGGCTGGTGGCCCTCTAGAGCGGTAACATTTCTTGAGAACCACGACACAGGATGAAATCACCGTCTTTGTGCGTCTCCTCTTATTGTTGAGCCAGTAAGAGATTTGTTGCTCACTCAATCCTGTCTCTGCTACCAACTACTTCATAAAAAGATATCTCCACCCCATAGCTGCAACAGAGAACAGTTTGATTCCTTGCTTCCATCTTCTCTGTTGCAGCTATGGGGTGGAGATATCTTTTTCTACAACCCTTCTTGCTTGCATCTTCTGGCCGTGCCTGCTGGAGAATGTCGTGCTGGTGCTGCCGATCTTCTTGAAAACAAGAATTCTCCCCTCCATCTCCGGAGTGAATTCGTTCCAACGAGAAACGCTGCAGCAATGCGTCTTCCCGAAAACCTGTAAGCGGAAAGGCGAGGAAAAGAAGAGCTTTGACTCACCCTTTGATGACTGCTCTGCCTGCATTGGCGCGTCACCATGCTTTAGCGCCGATGCGAAGGCAGCAGCGCAGGACTCGTTCTCCTCCTGCTGCTCGAGAAGCCGAAGCAAGGAATCAAACTCCTGGCTATTGGGCTCGCCATTGAACAGGAGATCCCCTAGGAGTCACGCATCCATGATCGGCCAGCGCGCACAGGGGCGATGTCGAAAATGGATGGCTACATCTTAGAAACGTGGCGAGGAAGCGAAGAGACCGCGGGAGTTGAGGGATCAGAGCGCCAGCTCGGCGGGGGATTCGTCTATGATCCTTCGCCGCCGGTTGGATGACCCGGAGATTTTTCTCCAAGATCAAAATTGGGCCGTAGGATGGTGGCATCGGACGGCTAAACCCAGTGGCTGGTTTTGGTGTAAACAACGAGAATCATGATGGTCAAATTCAAAGAATATTCGATGGTCCCTCGTTGATAAGAACCCTTTATAAATATATATACATTTGAATTAATATAAACATTAATTATAATTAAGTTAGTGTTAATGTACTATTAACAATTACCACTTCACTGGCTTGGCATTTGCATTTGTGCAGGGGATCGTGAGCTCGGATTTGTGGACCTTTCGAGGCTGGTGATGCTGCTCGTTGCGTAGTGGAGCGAAGATCTCATCGTCGTCAGCCACCACAAAGAAATCCCTGCTCGAATTGCTGTTCCTCTTGGCGGGGCGGGGCTTGTTGGGCGGCTGCGGCGGCGCCCACGCTGCTGGCTCGGGAATTTGGTGCTGCCGCCCTTTTGGAGTCGCGCATTCTTCCTCTTTCCTTTCCTCTGCGGCCTGGCTCCCACTCATCCTACGATCTTCCACCTCCAATTGGGGAGAGATCTTAACACTTCGAAGCCCAATTCCACACAAATTCATGCCAAGAAATCCACTCACACTCGCTCGGTGGAGCTCTAGATCTTGCGCTGTTCCTCTCCCCGTTGATCTTGGCAAAGAATTGGCAAAGAAAGCTCCCGCCGCCGCCGCCGCCGCCGGGGACACTAGAGCAGCACAAAACACTCTTTCCAGTTGAGTGTCGGGAGCTCTAGGCGCTGCCCGCTGCCCGCTACTTTGAAATGCCGCTAACTAAACTGCCGGGCAGCGCGGCCTAACCGCCGGGCAGCGTGTTCTTTCAGTTGACTCCCGCTATTTTAGGGAAGAACTGAGATACTGTCGCTTCACTTGGCTGGCGAGCTCCGAAAAATCGGTATTTTCTCGCGTTTTCTCGCTTTTCTCGGCTTGCTGATTGGCTAGAAAAGCTTTTTTTAATCTCTTATTTACATAAAAAATCTCTTTTTCTCTTTGCTCACTGCGACCATTCTACTGGATCCCCGAGCTGGGCTTTCAAGAGCACGGAGAAGGCGCCTTTTTGGCTCCAGAGCGCTTTCAACTGGAAAAAATCCTCGCTCCCATTCTCTGGAAAGAGAACAGGCGAGCACACACGAATTTGTAAAGAAAACAATGGAAGAGGAGAAAAACAACCTTTGCTGCAGTGAATCGTGCTCTTCCATGTGATTCCAGCTTGCACTCGCCCTTTAGAGGAAACTGAGCAGATCGGCGATATAGTATTCCTCCCGTGCCTCTGAACAGCCTGTACGACAAGTAAATGCCATTTTAATTTTCTCTCGCATCGTCGTGGAAGCTGCACGAACATACCTGCAAGATCACGCTCTTCCCGGCGTAGTGATCGTTGCTGTATCTCGAAAACACGCTTAATCCTCTGGCAAATCTGCACAAGCCGAAAAACAAATGGCATAGAAAATCGTATCTCTTTGCTTGAAAAAACTGAAGAAATAGAATAAGATTTACTCACTTGTGAGAGGTTGCAATCCCCCAGGCCGGTGGCGACGAAAAGTCGGTGCTGGAAACGATGCTCGACAAGGAATGTTTATCGTCTTGAGAACTGCAATGAAGAACAAAAAAAGAAAAACGTAAGAAAAAAAGTATGTGAAAGAACACACACTGATTGGTGCTAAAAAATTACAGCAGTTTTGCACCACATCATGCTCTCCACGGCGACACGATGGCGACAACGCAAGTCAGTTCCAGCGGTGAGAGAGATTCGTCCATCCGCGAGTCGAGGGATTGGAGGCGTGTGGATAATTCTCACACGGAGCTCTGTGAATTGGATGCTCGTCCCCTCGATCACACTGTCCACCATGGTTCTCGATCCAATCTAGAAAGAAAAACGAAGAAAGTTGATCGAAAACAGTCAGTTCTCGATTAGAACGATTGAAGAAAACTAGAACTTCAAAAGAAAAAAACGAAGAAAGTAAACTCTGAAAGAAAAAACGAAGAAAGTTGATCGATAACAGTCTGGAACGATCAAAACTAGAATTTTGCAAGGAAGATCGTGGAAAACTTACAGCGTGGGAGCCAGTGAGACGCAGCCTCTTGTCCGGATCATTCCCTCTCTCTCTAATTTCTTTAGACCTGGAAGAGATATTACCGGGAGGAGAAGAATCCCGACCTAGGGGGCCGCTGATTCGAGACCCCAGCGCGGCGGAGCTGAAGAGCAGCATTGCGCGCTCGGCATTGAGCACCACGGAGTCCTCCGGCCGGTGATCCAAGACGGAGCGCGCACCTCGCGCGATCCGAGCCAGCAGAGAATGCCGCCCCGCCGGGAGCGGCCTCACACGCTCCAATGCGCCGACCACGCGTAGCACTGGGAAGTCACAAGCAGCGCTGCCGGGGTGTGGCTCCTCCTCCTCCATAGCCGAAAACCTCAAATCTCCTCGATCTACAGCCGTTCGATTGGATCCATCGAAGCCGTTCGTTGATAAGCCCAAAGCCCTAACTCAAAACTTATTGTCATTTAGTTTCTTTGGACAATGCATTTTTTTCTTTGGATTCTTCTGACATGTTTCACGAAGAGTGCTTGTAAATGGCTCTTTTGTTGATCTTCTGGAGTGGCCTTGCGTTTTTCCCCTGTTGCAAAACCATAGAAAATATCCATCTCAAAAATTGATTTTTAACAGTTTACCTGCAGCAGAGCTATGACCCTTTTGATCTGGCTGCTAGAAATTGTTCCCGTCTGTAGAAAATGTGATGGTTTCGCAAGAAAAAAAATGAAGAAAAAGAGTGATTTTGAGAGCAAACCTTCTTTAGTATTGTCCAAAGAATCCCTTCGCTGCAGGGTGGAGTTGTGAGCGATCCAAGGTATCGGTAATAACCTCCGTGAAGATTGATATAGTTGGAGAGGTTGATGGTAGCGTTTCCTTCTTTGAGCTTGAGTATCTGGAGCAATGGTGCGTTAGCGGCTATACTTTTTTTATCCCAACGCTACTGACTTGATCGAGAAGTGGATCGCTCCTTCCGAGCTTGAAGAGCTTAGACACCACTGTGATCTGCGATGAATTTGGTGCTACCTTGTGAACCAAGTGAAGCTCCAGCGGAAAGCTGTGAATCTCTCTCTGTGAATTCGACCAAGAAAATAGAGATTTTTTTAAGTTTACCGAGTTCCATCCACGGTGTGCTCGCTTGGGATGTGGAAGTGGAAATCTGTGAGCGTATACGTTGCCCGGTTGAGTGGAAGTGTGCAGTGTGCTCCAGCAATGAACACCTGAGCAAGGAGAACGAACATAAACTTGTGAATGATGGATCACAAAAACTTCTGGAGTTTCTCTGGATTTGCCTTGAAAATGTACTGGCTGGAAGCGATGGAGCAAACGCTGCTCTGGTAGTGGGCTCGCAGGCCTGGCAAGCTGGAGTTTAGCTCGGCGTGCTTGCTTCGGATGGCAATCGGCGACTGCGCCTTTCCATCGCTACACTCTTTCCAGTCGCTCTTGAGATCGCCCCAGTGTCTTGGACCTCGAGCTCCAACGTAACTATAGTCGATCACTGCAAGCAACACAAAAACAATCAAAGTTGAGGGATCTCAAACAATCCTTGAAGAAAGAGATCAACTTCATCCACGGAAAACTAAAAGATGACATACCCAGTGCAAACGAGCATTGAAACAAGACGACGACGAGCAGCGGAAGAATCCAGAGCTGTGGCAATCCGAGCAGCATTCTCATCGTCCAGCAGGCCTTTCCTTTTTTATCTTCGTCTTCTTGCTCTTCTTGGAGTTTTTCTCGCGCTTTGATTGCATTGCTCTTAAGAAAGCGAGGCCACTGGCTACGTCCTTGTCACGTACAAAGCAAAGCCACAGGGAGCTTTTCTTTACCCCATCTCCGAGTGCGCGTTGTACACACCGACATTGCTCTCTATCTCTTCCCATCCCAAAAAAATCCCCATTTGTGCAAACCTGGAAAGATTCATATTCCCTCCCACACTTTCGTCTCTCCTGGATCGATTCCATCGCGAAAATCTCCTCCTTTTTGGAGGTAGCTCACCGGCGCATTCACGGACCAGGGATGAGCCACCCAGCTTTCGTTTTTTTGGGTTTAGGGTTCCTTGAATTTCCGTCATGACGGCATATGCCGCGCCGGGGATATTCCGTCCGCCGCGTTGGATCCGGTCAACTAGGTAGCTCGCTCCAATGTTGTCGCGCGGATCCAAGAAACCGGTCGATCCCGCCGATCGATCGCAATGAAGCGGCTGTCCATCGGCGCCAAGCTGGGCGCCCTAGCGGCCTTCGTGATCTTCTCCTACTATCTGGGACGCCCTGTCTACTGGGAGGTCTTGTCGCGGGCGGTCCAGGGCTATGGTCGATCGGTGAATTTCGGAGCTGCCTCGCGGTCCTCCTACATTCTTTCGTCGCCGCCTTTGCCTGGTGAGTGAGATTCCAGCTCGCGATCTTGGAGCCCTCGTGCTCGAGTTTTTGTTCTTTATGTTATCTTTCTCTCTTTTGCAAGCAACCAATTTAGTGGATCTCACTCACTCACTGCCGGTCTTTGCTAGATCGTGGAGATGAGACGAAATTAAAGGAGAGAGGTGGCCGTGAGGATCCGACCACTGTGCGTGATCCCAAGAAGTTTATGAATCACGACGTGCTCAAGAAGGCTATCTGGGAAATTCCTCCGCATGGATCAGAGCTTCCACCCCGCGAGGCGTTTGTGCTCTCGAAAGAGATGGTGGAGTTTCGGGCGAAGAAGAACGTGATCATGGTGACTTTCGCGAACCACGCATTCGAGGACTTTGTGCTGACTTGGGTGAGGCACTTAACTGATGTTGGTGTCACCAATCTTCTCATTGGTACGTCTAAGTTTTCCACCGCCATAGCCTCGAGCTAAGTACATCTTTTTTTTGTTGTTTTGATCAGGTGCTATGGATCGAAAGATTTTGGAGGAGCTTTTCTGGAAAGGTGTCCCGGTTTTTGACATGGGCAGTGAAATGAATCCTGCTGATGTTGGATGGGGAACTCCCGTGTTTCATAAAATGGGACGTGAGAAGGTTTTCTTGGTGAATGCGATCATGGCAATGGGATTCGAAGTTTTATTCTGTGACACTGACATGGTGTGGATGAAGGTACGAGTTTTCATCGTCTCGTGTGACCTTTCGCACTTTTCTCGGACTTTGGAACCAGCTCGGGTGTTTTGCAGAATCCATTACCATACATGGAGCGCTATCCTGATGCTGATGTTTTGGTGTCTAGTGACGCCGTGATAGCGACTGTGACTGACGAATCTCTGGAAGATTGGAGACGATGTAAGTTTCCGAATGCATGGTTTTGTTTCCCTCCGTTTCATGTTTTTTCCTCTGTTTTGCAGCTTATGCGGCTCTCAACATTGGTATTTTTCACTGGAGGCCAACTGAAGCCGCGAAGGAGTTCGCACGGGCCTGGCAGATCCAGCTCGAAGATGAAAAGATTTGGGACCAGAACGGTTTCAACGAGCTGATTCAAAATGGGACGCGCGAGGCTGTCGATCCCGACAACGACCGTGGATTGTTTTATGCCTTCGACAGAACATTGAAAGTCGGTATACTTCCCGTGAGCATGTTCTGCAGTGGACATACGTACTTCGTACAGGTCCGCATGCTATTGCTTGAAAGATTAGATAAGATTCTAAAGGTATTGCTTGATGGTGGCAGCATTTGTACAAGCAGCTGGGACTAGACGTGTATGCCGTACATACGACATTCCAGTTTGCGGGAACTGAAGGAAAGAGGCATCGGCTCCGCGAGGCCAAACTCTTTTTTGACAGGCCAGAGTACTATCAAGGCAAGAGTTTCTTCTTTCTATTCTTTCAAATCTGTAAGCTTTCTCTCGGCTTTACAGGGCGTTTCATAGCGTTCGACGCTTCCATACCGAAGGAGCTACTGACGGGAGGGAACCACTCCGTCGAGACGCATTTCGCGTTGGTCAACTACCAAGTATTTTCTCATTGTACTTTTCTCAAACTGCGGTTCTTCTTCTAATCCTTGAGAATCGGTTGTAGCAGCGGAAGTCACAGCTTTATTCTGTCATCACTCGCTCACACTGTTTAGTTGTTTGCTGCAGATGAAACGAGTGCGGGAAGCGCTTGCTGTGGCATACGTTCTGAATCGAACTTTGGTACGTGGTGTTCAAGCATCTCACATTTTTTTGCTGATTTATTTTCCTCCAGGTGATGCCCGAAATGTGGTGTAGGAACGATCGACTGTGGTTTGGTCATCCGGGTATTTTGCACGACACGAAAACACCACAGCCGTTTTTGTGTCCCATGGACCATGTTTTTGAGGCAAGCTTTTACGTCCGTATTGTATTCTATCTCTTCCTTACGCCGCAGGCTCAACAGGTTTCGAATATGTTGAAAAATATGCCAGAGGAAGAGTTCGGGCCTGCGATAGACTTCCGGGAGTATTCTTTTCTGGAAAATCCTCGAGTTCCACAAGAGGTACAGTACTAATAAACAAACAAGTTGTCCACTGACACACAAATTTCTTTCAGATAAAAACGTCGAGGCTATCCATCCGGTTGTGTTCTCGAGGCAAGGACTGTAGCTCGGAAGTATCTCAAGGAGCTATTGAACTACCGATAAACATGACTGACACCCAGGTACTAGCGTAAACACTAGTCACTTTCAAAATCACTCTAAACAATGGCAAATGTTTTTTGCAGCTTAGAGACGAGTTCTCCAGACACAAGGACGTCAAAATCCTCGACTTTTCGACAATGCAAAACGTTTTTGGCGGCTTTGTTGACAAGGTCAGTGAGTGAAGCCAAATCGTGCTTCCAGTTCACTGTTTTCTTGTGCTTTTTGTCAGGACAAAGCTCTAAAGTTTAGGAGGCGGCTCCAAAAATACACGGGAATATGGTGCTGCTTGGAGAGCCTGGAAAGAGGCCACATTTACTACGATTTTTTCTGGGACGAGAAGCCTGGGTGGAAACCTCTACCGCCCACACGGCCTGAAAACGATCATCCACCTTTCGATTAGAAACTTAACAAAGTTTGACAAGATTTTCCTCCCTATCAAGAAATAAACATACGAAAAGAGCGAAGAACAAAGAAGGTGCGTTTGCAAGTAAAGAGATTTTATTCCTTGGCCATACTTACATGGAGCAGAAGAAACCGGATCTTCACCCCCCATTCACGAACCAGCGAAGAAACCAAAAAAAAAGAAAGTGAAGCACAAGAGAAGAACACGAGATCTCTCCCTCAGTGAAACCACCAGTGTCTCTGAGAAGTACCTGGAACGTCGTTGGAGTGGAACATCATCTGGAACTCTTGGAACAATCGATCGGGCTGTCTCCCCACGAGATGGTTGGCCAGAGATATAAACATGAATCCCATCACGCTCAGCACTGGTCCCACGGCGAGAATGAGCCAGCTCCGCGATATCCCCCGGTAGCCACCACCGCCACCACCACCACCACTGGTCACTTCCTCGCTGCTATCTCGGCAACTTTCTTCGCTAGAACCTCCAGAGTTTTGCCCCCGGTCAGCACCACTGCTGCTCTCTTCGCCACCAATCGTAGTAGCAGCAGTAGTAGTAGCAGCAGCAGCAGGAGTGGCACTAGCCGCAGTGCCAGGAGTGGAGTCCTGGGCTTTGCGGCCATTCTTTTGCTCCTCGTAGTCGGGATCATCCGTGGGAAGCTCGTAGCGGCAGACCGGGCAAGAGTTTCTCGATCCCAGCCATGGCAGGATGCAGTCCTGGTGGTAGAGGTGCAAGCACGGCAGCTGCTTGGCGGGCTCGTCCAGCATCAGCTGCTCCTTGCATATCGCGCACACCGCGATCCCGCTGTCTATGTGGTGCTGCGCGATCTTCACCATCTCCAGCTCGTCCACTGCCGACTTGGCCGCCGGGGGAGCACCGCGCCGGGTGGTGTCGTTCTCCGCCAGCTGCTGGAGGAGCTGCTCGAATCCTCTAGAGTCGAGGTAATCGCCCGGGTTGCCCAGGTACACGTCCGGGAGCTCCAGCCGGACCTCGAGGTTCTGCTCCAATAAGTTCTGGAAGATCTCCCTCATGTAGAAAGTGAGGTTGTTCCTGGCCCTGCTCACTCGCTCCTCCCGATCGCCGCCAGAGTCGTCGCCAACCACGTCCGCATCGATCCTGGTGGTGTGAGTGATCACTCCGTCCTCCTCCTCCTCGGCCTCTTCCCACTCGTCGTCGTCCTCGTTGAGATCAAAGCCCTCCAGCTCCAGCCGCAAGCCACCGGTCTCACTGTCGCTCTCGTGCTCCTCAGAGAGATCGTCCTGCCCGAGCTGCCGCTCCCGGACGATCATCACGCGACCTTCGTTCCCAGCACCGCCACCAGCAGCTGTTCCAGGCGCTTCCTCCCCTCCAGATCGAGCAGGCAATTCGCCCTCTTCAACAGTGTCGCCAGGAGGATTCGGTCCACCATTCTCGATCTCCAGCGCATTGGCACCCGCGGCATCGCTGGAAGCCCCTTGCCGGCTGTTCGCCCTCGACGCCTCGAGAAGGATCTGGACCATCTGGAGCATCTGGTGGGGATACATATGCTCCAGGGCGTCGCTGAGAGGGATGGTGTCGTGAGCTCTCCTGCGCCGCCGCCTCGACTGGCGGCCAAATTCTGGCGCCGCAGCTGCCGCCGTCGCGATGGCCTCCACAAATCCACCCTCACACTCGGCGCATGTCATGCCGTCCTGGGCCCCCGCCACAGCTACCTCCTTCTCGCATTGGTAGCAGAAATACCTCGGGCTCTCATCGCCATCGCCGCCGCTGCTCGCCTGTGCTGTATGATCTGCCATGGCGCTCGCTATGGATCGATCTGCAGCCAAGCCGATCAACACAGATCAAAACCTCCCGGAATCGCGAGAAAGAGACTCACATCCGAAAACCCTATCTCCCTACGCGCCCTAACCCTAAGAACACTATGGATCTGCTTTTCAGTGGAAAAATGTATGCCTTTGGAGCAATCCCCCCCGTCGGCTCCGACACGTCAGACATATCTGCCGACGTGTAACACTTTAAGACACGAGTCACGACGTGGCGGTCCGGACACTTGGCACGTCACTAAAAGGTAGCACACTTGGCATTACACGTCATCAATAAGGGACATGTCTCTTGTTGGATTGCTTGGCCCTCTTGAGCACCAGATTGCTCGAAACCCAAGCACTGCTCTCAAACTCGGAGCTCGAGCTCGGTTTGCTCCAGCTGCAAAGCCGTCCATCTTCGCCGCCGGACCAGCAAAAGAGCTCGCTTTGATCGAAAGTTTTCACGCTCCGGACGACTGCGGTGTGACCTCCTTCCAGAACCGAGCAAACTGGGCCGATCTGCCCGGAGCAGTGCGTGTCACCACCGCATTTCGTGTAGTTCACCGGGAACATTCCAATCGTGCCCCCGAGAGTTCCTGCTACGAGGCACAGGCCGTCTAGAGTCGGGGAGTAGTGGCAGTCGATCAAGTAGTTAACCTGTGTCGATGCTTGCTGCCGTGAGAGACGAATCTATCGTGGAAAGAAGTATACTTACAGGTGTTAGTGACCATGCAGCGGAAGCTCTCGATCTCGTGTCTCCAAAGTCTGCCTCTAGTCTCTTCTCTTCGAAGTTCCAAACGCTACAGGATGACCAAGACTTGAGATCCAGTAACGAGATAGTGCTAGTTACCTCAAGGACTCTGTATGAGTTAGGCACCAAACTTTCTCATTAGATTCGCCATAGAATCCTACCCTCGCAACTGAAGTACCCACGCTCAAGACCTGCGTGATCCAGCGATTTCACAGCTAGCGAGAGAATAAAGAATAAGCTTACAGAATCTAGCCCCTCGTCGTCATTGATGCCTCCACTCGTATCGATCGCGCACATCAAACCATCCACTGATGCAGAAAGAAGCTTGTCCATTTTGTTTGGATGGAACCGTACCTGTCAAGCACAGTCAGAAAAATTCCAGCTCTCTTTCTTTTTCTCCTTTCTGCTAGACAGACCTGTGTGACGTCCTCAGTGTGGCATTCCTCTAAGCATCCTAGTTGCTTCTTGGTTCTCCAGTCCCAGAACATAATCTGCACAAACAGCACAGTACTGGAGGCAGTATTTCCAAAGTTCCTGTTAAGTCTTTAGTGGAAGTACCTGTGCTTGGCTTCCAGCAGCGATCAAGTTTCCACTCATCCCACCTAAGCTAAAACTCCACAGTTCTCTAGGAGATGGAGATTTTAGACAGCCTATCTGTAGATAGGAAAAGGGAAAATCTTAGAAGGAAAGTAAAAACTATACACACAGACCTGTCTATGCGTTCGCGTATCCCAAATTCTTAGCGTTCCATCCGTGGAAGAAGAACACAACTTATGGGGCGCCAAAGGACTAGGAAAGGCAATGTCTGTAATGGTACTGGTGTGACCCGATAATTCCCCAAGTAGCTTGTCCTTGACAGGAGAATAGAGCTTGATCCCATTCGTCGACAGGGACACGGCCATCATGCTATCCCCACTGGAAGAAATCCCGGAGATCAAAGCGAGATCCAAGGGCGCTATACCTGGTCGAGATGTCGAAGATGTAATCCGGATTGTCCGGCGCGCCGAAGCTCGCCTGGATCGCCTTCTTGAGGCTGTACCGCGCGCCTCCGCCATTACTCGCGCTCTCCATCGGCCCTGGAATGCCAAAACCCTAAACCCAGTAGACAGAATATCCCACGCCATCTGGGATATTCCGTCTTCGTGCACCTCACACTCCGGTGCATTAAAGAACCGAGGCCTTCAAGGAGGAGGAAGGAGACGATCCCAACGCCAAAGAGTAGAAAGCCTGTCCTCCCGTCCGCTAGCTTTAATGGGTGTCTCCCACTCAACGATGCCAGTGGAGTACAAAGGGGCGACGAGGAAGGAGGGATCACCACTGTCCTATTCGAGTTTCCTCTGCCTTCTTCGATCGAGGCGCGCGCCTGGACGATGATTTCCCTGGCCATTTCTCTCCTTTTCTGCTCGCTCTCGGTCTCGCGCGCGCAGCTCATCCCCGCGGCCTTCACGTTTGGCGATTCCACCGTCGATGCCGGCAACAACGACTACCTCAAGACGATCTTCCGGGCCAATTTCCCGCCCTATGGCCGGGACTTCGACACCAAGCAGCCCACTGGGCGATTCAGCAACGGGAGAACTCCCTCGGATTATCTCGGTGAGTGGATGGATTCTTTGTTTCTTCATATGCTGCAGCGATCGATTCGGGCAAATGTGCGTTGTTTGCAGCGGCTTTGCTGGGACTGCCGCTCGCTCTCCCATACTTAGATCCCTCAGCCAAGGGGCAAAACATCGTCACGGGTGTGAATTTCGCAACGGGAGGATCTGGATACCTGTCAGAGACTGGAGCGACGCTGGTGATTTTCGAAAATTTGCCAAGAACAGCACAGTGTTCTCTGTTTTTCTTATCAATCCTCTGTTTTCGCTGTTCTTGTCCTAGAGCAGAATGTGCCAGGTCTGGATGGCCAGCTCCAGTGGTTCAAATCCTACACGCAGAATCTCGTCAAGATCGTCGGGAAGGCGAATGCGACGAACATCATCTCGCAGGGGGTCTACACATTGAGCACTGGCAGCAACGATTACGTCGCGAATTACTACGTCAATCCCCTCGTCCAGGAGAAGTATAGCAGGAACGCCTTTCGCTCGCTGCTCCTCAGCTCCTTCACCCAATTCACCAAGGTAGCCTCCACTCTTGTTTCAATTCTCTCGCTCCATCGATGTCGATATCGATTTCTCATTCTCCATCGCATCGTCAGGCGCTCTACAGCTTGGGTGCTCGCAGGATCGCGGTGGTGAGCATGGCGCCGCTGGGATGCCTGCCATCGCAGGTCACCCTCTACGGGAAAGGATCGCTCAGCTGCGTCGACTTCGCCAACCGCGACGCTCGCCTCTTCAATCGGGCGCTCAACTCGACAGTGACATCGATCAGAGCAAGCCTCAAGGACATCAAGCTCGCCTACATTGACATCTACCCGCTGGTCGAGGACGTTATCAAGAACCCTTCCAAGAACGGTGCGTAAGGGGTGATCGATCGATCAGAACAACTTCTTCGCTGGAGAGATACTGATTGTTTGATCGACTTGCAGGGTTTGAGCAGACCACCACTGGGTGTTGCGGCATCGGCAGGCTGGCCGTCAGCATCCTTTGTAACGAGCATTCAATCGGGACGTGCAGCAATGCCAGCAAGTACGTGTTCTGGGACAGCTTTCACCCAACCAGCACCATGAATCAGCTCATTGCAAATACTGCTTTCAACCAGGGAATAGGCCAACTCCTGTGAAAGAGAGAGCTCTGTGTAGGATGTATTAATGAAAAGAGGATTGATCCCTTGTTGTTAAGGCAAATGCACAGGATTTATTCTTGGGTTGGGTGTGAAGCAGAATCACCTGTTGCCGCTTTCATTCATTCATGTATTGTTTAAAACTGTACATGATCTAGATTCATTCGTATACTGTTTACATGGTCTCGCAGCACCAAGAATGAGATAGACATTGAGGTGTATCGATTCAAGTTATATGTTTGGATGTAATAAAAAGAACAGAAACAGCTCATTGCAATCAATCAGCCAACTCTTGTGAAAGAAAAATTGGTAGGATGTTTTAATGAGAAGAGCTCAATGCAGCAATTCTCCTATTAAGGCATACAGGATATATTCTTCAGTGAAAAGAACTCAAAGCAGGCAGCATATCCCCTGTTAAGGCAAATGCACAGGACTTATTCCTTGGTTAAAAGGTTGAAAGGGTCTGTATGGTTTTCATTTGTCAGAAAACTCTTTCTACAAATAAAAAATCGGTTGCATTGAGTTTGGCGAGCAGCTGACACGTATCACATACAAGGTTTTCCTCAGACAATGGTCATGTTTCGTGAAATTATACTATGGCTTGGCTAAGCTCCCCATCGAGTTTAGTCAGTCACACTTAAACGTCCATTTTCTTAATCGTTGTTTTAATCTAGGGCTCTTCACGCTGGGCGCCATGGGGGGGACGCTCGCTGCCCACGCTCTACCAGGTATCTTTCTCATCGCCATCGGCTTCTGGCACCAGCTCCGCGCGATCTCCACCTACATTCGGTCGCCCCGCGACTACTCCGCCAGGCTATGGCACCCGGTCGCCGGCCTCCGCGGCCGGATCAAGCACCTCGAGCTCTACATCCTCCTCCTCGCTCTTCCCATCGCCATCGTCTACGAGCTGGCCGCCTCCACCGATTTCCAGGCCCTCCTCCAGATCGGCGCCCCCAACACCCGGGTCGTCGACTTCCAGCGCGCCGCCATGCTCCTCGGCTTCCTCTTCCTTGTCGTCGTGCTGCTCGTCAGTGACACGACGCTGTGGCTTCCACTCCCCGCCGAGGCAGCCTTCCTCCTCTCCGCGGTAGCGTTTGGGATCGAGTGGATGGTTCTGTCCCAGCACGGCCAGGATCTTGAGGGGAAATGCAATGCCATCCTCTCCAACCTCGCGGCAGCGTGCTCGATCTCAGCGGCACTGCTGGCCTGGAAACCCACTGCCATCCTCGCCGATCTGGTGTTGACCGAGTCGATCCTTCTGCAGGGATCGTGGCTCGTGCAGTCAGGCTTGACGCTCTTCGTCAAGAGCTTCACGCCGGAGGGCTGCCACCAGCTGCTGGATCTTCCGCGAGGAGTTGGAGGAAGCACCAAGTGTGATCTCGAGGAAGCTAGAGCTCGGGCCTTCTCGCTCGTGGACCTGGCTTTTATCTGTCACCTCCTGGTGGCGATGGTGGTGAGCTCGCTTCTCTACTGTGGAGTCGCCAGGAGGAGAAGCAGTGGTGGTGGCTACGATCATCTGCCAGTTGTGGACATCGAGTCCAGTAATGGGAGCTCCATACCTATGAAACCGATCACGAAGCAAGCTCAGTACTAGGAGCCCAAGAAATAAAAAGAAAAGGAGTATAGAACCTTTGACGACGATCGATCGAAGTTACAAAACTTTGCGAGTCTGGAAATGAGTCAATCTGTAACAGATACCATACCTGTGCTTTGTGCGTCTTTGGTTTTGTTTCTTGAATGTATGATCTAGTGAAAATGGAAGTTTCCTTCACGTGTAACTCGAGCATAAGCTTTACTCTCGCTCACCTTCTTTCGAGCTATGGCTTAGTCAACATACAGTGATTAGCAAAGATCATCGCAAACATCATTGCAACCTTACGAGAATCATAAGCCCCTCTCTTATGTTTATTGCCTGTTGTATATCCGGAATTCTTCTGGATCAAGAAAAAATAAGAATTGTACTATGCCGCTGTAGCAAAGGTTGCTCAGGCAAGCCTACAATCGTTGCCAGAAAAAAGTTTATCTGAATCCTACACCGAAGAACAAAAGCTCAGGCAAGATCAAACGAAGAGAAGCTAGATCCTAGAGGAAAAAGAAACAGCATTACCTTGACTTGGAACTGCGTGAGCGTAGGAATTCCCACATGAGACACAGCGAGCGCTCCAAAATAATTCCCCACCACCACAGCCTTCTCAACGGACAGGCCTCGATAGAGCCCCGCAGTGAATCCACCCAAGAAACTATCTCCAGCACCAGTTGGATCGAGCTCGCTCGCTGGAAACGCCGGGACGTGATACTCCTTGCTCTTGATGTAGACCGTGCTGCCTTTGTCACCGTTTGTGACGATCACACACGTCTTTTGGCGAGCGTTCTCCAGATCGATGTACTTGGCCTCGGACTGGGCCGCCTTGACGAAAGAAACCCTGTCTAGCATCCCATAGAACTCCGTGTCCTCGAGCTTGCGATATTTCACCACTCGCGTCACCGGATCGATGAGCCGGATGAGCGCCTGGAGATCCACAATCACCCGATCGCACAGCTTGATAATCCTCTCCAGCGCCTCGGGCAGAATCTCGCCGGCGACGCCCGCCGCCAGGCCGATCCCATAGCGGCTCCGCCGAGCTCTGCCGAAATCCGACGAGACGATTGGATCGCACACCTTGACCGCTCGCAGCACGCGATCTTCATCCTCGGCGCCTGTGTAATCCGCCACGAAGTGCGTCGTCGCCGATCGCTCGACGACCACTGGCGGATGCGATACCCTAGACCGATAGGCGAAATCCGGGCCGACCTTGGAGATTACCTCCGATTCCACGCCAAGAGCGTCGAGGACATTCACCAGGTAACCCGCCGATCCGCCCAGGGTATCGGTGCGCGAGGATCGAGTGATGATCGTGTCGTGGCAGTAGTTCCCCACAATGAGGATCGGCCCAGCGAGCCCTGGCCCATCGCAGCCGTTGGACTCCACGATGCCGTCATCCTCTTCGTTCATTGAATGCCCTAGCATGCTCCCCTAGTTTCCTCCTCTCCACGCGAAGAGGAAGGAGACGAATATTTAGGGCTTTTTAGGACAATGTGGAATACCACGTGGCACTCTGTAGTGCTGCCATGTGGCACTTTTGTTGTAAGAATTAGGGTTTTAGTTTAAGGGTTTACCCATTTTAGGGTTCCTCGAGAATGCACTCTGGGTAGGAGCGATGATGCTGCCCATTCCAGGGCTGTCCAGGGTTTCTCCTGTCTCGCGTGGATTTACGCTGCTGTGCCACGCTCGGAGAACCGGGATTTGGAGCGCCCGGAGCCAGAGATGGGGGCTTCTGGTGCGATGCTGCGGGACGAGCGAGGTAAGCAGCTCGAAAGCTCCCCCGCCGGCAGTGGATTACCAGACGCCCTTTGCGAATCCGCTCGAAGGATTGGCAGCATTGATTGCATTGAGCACTTCCGGGAAGATTATAGGCAAGGACGCTCACGGGAATATCGTCGTCAAGGACGCGGAGGACGCTGGGAATGCGGGGTCTGGCGTGAAGGAAGTGAAGGAAAAGAAGAAAGCTGTCGCTAAGGTTCCAAAGAAAGAGGAGGAGCTCAAGAAGAAAGATATACGTTCTCCCAAGGTGAAAAAGGTGCCGACTCCAGAGCCAAAGTTCTCCAAAGCTGCTAGGAGGTTCTTCAACATGAGATTCCGGAAAGCTGAAAGATTGAGCAAAGTTATGGCGGCTGCTGGAGGTGACTAGAGTTTTTTTTCTTCTGCTTTTTTTCCTCACTCTCTAGCCACGTTTATAACTATCTACCTTGCAGTGGCATCGCGGCGTGCTTGCGAAGAGATCATATTTGCTGGCAAGGTTGTTGTGAATGGTAAAGTTTGCAGGACACCCGAGGTCTGTCTTTTCTTTATTTCGATTGACTTTGAAGGTAGTGACATATGCTCTGACAGACTCATGTAGATCCACTGAAAGATCTTATATACATTGACGGGAAGCCAATTCCTCGGAGGCTGCCCCCAAAAATGGTTTTCGCTCTGTACAAACCAAAAGGGTGAGCTGTTATTGTCACCAGATGCTAGAGTTCTCAATGTTTGATACCATGTGTAGCTACATTTGCTCTGACGCCAAGGATGACAAGAAAACAGTCTACTTACTACTTGAAAAGTACCTTAAGACATGGGTTAGTGTATTTCGATTCGGAGTTTGTCGTTTAATCCTTTGTATTTGCAGGAAAAAAATAACCCGGGACTAACAAAGCCTAGATTCTTTACAGTCGGTCGCTTAGATGTTGCCACAACTGGTCTTATATTCGTTACAAATGACGGTAAGAAAGCAAAGAATTGAGAAGAATCTATCATGCTTACGACTGAAACAGGTGAATTTGCTCAAAAGGTTTCGCATCCATCGTCGGGTATCACAAAAGAGTAAGATCTTACAAAATGAAAAAGAGCTCATACAGCTGTTGTGCAGGTATCTCGTTACTGTGGATAGTGAAAGTGTCACAAAGAGGCAACTAAAAAGAATAGCAAGTGGAACAGAGATTGACGGGGTTATGTGCGTCCCAATCTCCGTCGAGCTTGTAAAGTCGGAGCCAGGAGATAGCAGGCATAGAATACGTGTTGTCGTAAGTCCAGTTGGATTCCCTGGCTTTTCCTCTGACTAAGCTGGAACTCGCAGGTTACGGAAGGACGAAATCACGAGGTACGGCAGCTGGTAGAGAGTGCATTTCTCAAGGTAAATGAACTTCTGTATTCCTCTTGCAACTGCCTGACTGGTTGTTCCACCAGGTTCATGCTCTCAAAAGAGTTCGCGTCGGTGGACTGCGTCTCCCTTCCAAGCTAAGGTACTGCAGTGCATTTTTGTTTTGTTTGTTTAGTTTTGCGTCCCTTGCATTGCAGTTCTGGGATGTTCATTCAACTAACACAGTCCCAAATCAAACAAGTGGTTGAGAGGGATCCAGTGCTACTCGAAACCGGACGGGCTCCATTGCCGCTTGCAAGCTCTGCAAGTGGCAGCAAAGATCTGGTTCTACAGGAGGAGGAGAAGAGCGCAGCCGTGGCGGCCAAGAATTACCCACTTACGATCGAGCGGAAGGAGGTCCAAGCGATCATCGAGTCCAACAAGATCAAGCCATTGATGATGGATGAAGTAAGGAGGGTGGTGAGTGTTCGTAAACAGCATCCTACAAGACGGGTTCGTGCAGTGGTTTTCAAGTGAAATCTTTTCTTCCTTGTTTTGTGCTCCTGACCGATTTGCCTGTATAAACAACGAAGATTGCGCGCCATCGCTTTACGTTTCTACGATCGTGCTGATCGGCCCCAGGCGAGAAAAAGACGAGGCTTTAATTCTTTTGCTGGAGGTTCTGATGATCTTGAACTGTTCGTTCAGATAGAGTGCTTTTCACGGTGGAAGAAATGCGCGACAAGACACCACTCACTCACTGTTTATGGGATCGCGCTTATTGCGCAAGCCATCGAATCATTTGACACTCACTTGGACAAGGTACTTTAGCTCAACGTGGAAAGAGACGCTACGAATCTTCGGGTAAGTGCCATGATTATTCACTACCATAGGTGAGTGAGTGAGCGAGTTTTTGTTGTAGACGTGTGGCTTCTTTCTCTGTGGCTACTTGCATTTTTTTTTCCTCTGAAAAGCATCGGATGATCTGTGCTAGATCTGTGCAGTGCTAGCCGCAAAGCTTTCATTCCTTTCACCCGAGAGTGTCAGTTCTACTTGAGGTCCAACTTGTAATCATACAGGAAAGAGAGAAACGAAGCGAGAGAAGAAAAAGAAGCCTTTGATAAAAGTGGAAAAGCAAAGCTCTTTTGGGAATGAAAACATCCTCCCTTGCAGTTGTATTCTCTCACCACAGCAAAGCAATTCAGTGCTCTACAACTTTTTTTATCCTTTATTTTTCACCAAGGCAACAAGGAAAAGAAAAGAAACAGATAAGAAAAACTGAAAGAAAAAAGAGAGAGAACTTCTTGAACTAAATGTTTGTAGCTAGCAATGTTGGTTCACGTGGGGGAGTTTGTCTGTAGTACTCCAGGTCTGTCTCAGTACTCTCCATTCAATTCTAGGCCAAAGTACGCGTACGTAAATATTCCACTTCAAGTTGAACTAGGAAGGACCAGCCTTGGTTGATAGCCTTTGGATGATTTGTGAATCATAGGCAGAGCTTGGCCGCTCAATTCAACCATCAGATCCTTATCCTTCTTTCTGGACAGCACTAGGTAGAATTCCTCAAACTAGGAGCAAATCAGGGCCAGGGCAAGGGAGCTTTGGACCACAATTGACAATGTTTTAGATAAATTTGCCTCCTTTTTTCCTTTTTCCTCTTCTCTTTCTTCATGCAGCTTTCCCTGAGTCCAATGTGGGGAGCAAGGTTCAAGAAACTTGAGGTATAGCTACTACATCCACAGTGTTTGTAGCCATATATAGCTTCACTAGTAGTAGTATGTGTGATGAAAGCCTTGTGGTGCTTTGCAATGAAAGCCTTGAGGACCAACAACACACACACACACACACGTTTGTGCTTATCCTGGTGGTGGCTGGCTAGTAGAGAAGAGAGGTGGCTTGTTTTTTCTCTTTGTTGTTTGCCTTTCACCTGTATCATCCTGGATCCCAGGTCTTGTCAAATCAAATCAAGAAACAAAATAAACAAAATCCCACCAGTATATGTATGTCATGCTTGTTAATGGACCATTTTGGACATTGTCAAATGGAAATCTTACAAACAGG